GGGCGTGCCGCCCCACCCGGAGTGCACCCAGTGTGCGTCAGGCCTGACTGGAAGGGAAACAGAGAAGTGGCTGTTCCACAAAACCTGCTTTGAAATGACGCATCCAAAATGAAGCGGAGTCAGATTGTGCAAATGAGTTTTCTGTGCCCCACCCCCCACTCCTACCCCCTCCTCCCGCAGCAGCAGGTGAGTGGGGCTCTGGTAGGTCAGTGCTCGGTGCGGGAGAGCTCACTCCTGGTCGCTGAGTGGGAGCACCACATCCGGGGAGGGCCTCCCGGCACCCTTTCTACAGCTGTGTTGACATCACAGCACGTGAAGCGCACGCTATGCAAATACACACTTGGCCTTGGTGCTGAATAGAAAATGAACTTGGTTTTGGGGCAGCACTGCGGCATCCGCCTGAGCCCTGACAGCGGCGGAGTAGCAGACCGGCACTAAAATCTGGACCGCGGTTGGGAGACCCCACAGCTTCCTAAAGATGTCCACGTTTGGGGGCCCTTTTCCTCTCTGGTTTCTGTCCTCCCTCTCTTGGCGTTGAAAATACTCCTTAGATTGATGGTGGTCTTCCATCAGGATCACTGAGGCCTCTCTCTGTCCCCCACCTACCCTGCCATCTTTGATTATGGCAGCACTCAGCATTAGCCCGGAAGGTGCTATGACAGCCCCTTGGGGAGTAGACACCATCCATCCAGATGCTCCCTTGACACATCCTCACTTGCCCGATCCAGAGCACATGTTCCCCATTTGTCAGAGGCTCACGGCCTGAGTTCAGTCTCTTCTAACATGTTACCACTCAAAGATCTATTTAAAAAGAAGAGGCTTCCAGGTGGTTCAGTCAGTTAAGCACCCAACAATTTGATTTTGGCCTAAGTCATAATCTCATGGTTCTTAAGATCCAGCTCCATGTCAGGCTCTGCACTGGGCATGGAACCTGCTTGGGATTCTCTCCCTCTCTCTCTGCCCCTCTGCAGCTTGTGTGCTCTCTCTCAAAATGGATAAATAAAAAATAAATTAAAAAAAAAAAGTTTAGCACCTCTTAGATATTCACTGTTGAAAGTATATAAGGGGTTTTTGAACAAGTTTAAAGATTTCTGTGTGTCTGAGTTTTTATAGGTATTCCTTGCTTTTTGGGATGTCTCTTAGAATTTGCTATTGATCTCCCTTTGATAAAATGGTAAAGATCGTGTCATGTTTCCCTTGTTACTTTGACTGCCAGGAAACTCTTAGCTAAACTATGGCTCTTCTGCTATAGATCTCAGCCGTGGTTCCCAGGCCAAGTCTCTCTGTCATTTCTGATCTCTCTTAAGTTTTGTTTTTATTCTGCCATGCACATCTGTGTGTTTTTATGGTTTAGCTCCCTTGAGTAATGCCAAGTGAATGTGCATGTTGAACTTACTGAGTCATTTGGTACAGTGGAGTTTGGACCAGCCTTCAGTGCATGGATTGGTGAGCCAGTGTGTTCTCCACTGGGCTGAAGTCTGAGTTGACTTGTCAGGATCACTTGATAGTTCTTGACGTTTATTCCACAAGCTTGGTCTGTCATCTCATCCATGAAAATGGCGAGGCAAGCTAGGCTGACTCAGCACTGTCATGAAGATTGTAGAGGTGTGTGGCACGCCATTTTGTCTAATGGTGGCATTGGGTGATTCTTCTGGACCCCAAGGTAGGGCGCACAAAGTCTGAAGACCTGGTGTGTCTTGGGCAACTTTTCAGAGGCTGGGCTCACCTCTGCCTGCAGGAGAGCGAAGCCAAGTGCAGAGCTGTGCTCTGTGGGCGTGCAGTCTGTGGCCCAGTTCTCTGGGCAGCCTGGGATCAGGGTCTCTTGTATCTGCGTATCTGCCTCCCTGGATTGAGGAAGAGAGGATGTTTCTCTGTGATTATTTTGGCACAGGGCTCCCATTTTGCCAGGATGTGTAGGTGTTTTTCCACCTGCAAAGCAGGAACCTGAGTCCTGATTCCACAGGCAGGGCGGTGGTCGCTGTGAGTGGCACCCACGGGTAGCCCTTCAGACAGGCATGCGTTGCTGTTCTGTGCATGTTGCTAATGACGCAGGTATTACCCATGAGGCCTAGTGGATGCAGACACTGCTTTCAGTTTCGGGCCCCAGCACTCCCTGCCCTGGCCCCATGCAAGGAGGTGTGGGGGCTGCGGGAGACCCTTGCCCAGAGAGGAGCATGGACTGTCAGAATTGGTTACTGGAGGGAGACACAAAGCTGACTGTTGAAGGAGTCATCTTCTGGGCACACGAGATAGCTATAAAAGTCAATTACCCCAAATAATAGAGTTTCTGATCTAGTCCATGGAGATAAAAAGACCCAACAGGATGGGGCCCTACACTTTGAGCACGTGTGTGTGTGTGTGCGCGCGCGCGTGCGCGCACAGAAGAGATCACTGTAATACGTAAATTGTACCTTAGTAGCAGTTTTCATTTTTTTAAATCATCTCCTTTACCCAAATGCATCATATTAATGTATTAATGTATCTTCCTAAAGCACTTTAATGAGTTTGACTAAAACAGCGTGCCACAATCTCTGACCTAAGAAGTGGTGTTTTTCTAAAGGGGGAAGGACCAAGAATGTTCGCTTAGCCTGAGAGGGCGTGTGGATTTGCTAAGGCTGTTGCAGCAGAGTACCACCGACTCGGGGGGAGTCAGGGCCTAAACAGCGGAGCCGTGTTTATTCACAGTCCTGGAGGCCAGAGGTCTGAGAGCTCGTGCTGGCTGTACCCGTGTGGTGTACTTGGCGCTGATAGCTGGAGCTCGGCTGGGCGTCCCCACCCTCTGCGGCTCCTGGGCCATCGGGGCGCATGCGGTGGGCTCCCCACAAACTAACTGATCTGAAGGGCTGCAGGTGCCAGAAGGCAGTGAGTGTGTGGGTGATGGGAGCTGCCCATCACCCAGCTGCTCCTGAGGGATGGGCCGCCTGCATGGAGCTGTGCCAGCTGTCAGAGGCTTTCTGGACTGGCATGGCCTTTCTTTGGTTTCGGTCTTAGTGGCTTCCTCCATTGAATGTTGTCCAAAAGCAGTTTCTCACCAGCTTAAAAGCGTGCGCCGTGTTGTCACGCATGCTGCCTGAGAGGGCAGGCGTCCCGCTGTCCTTCCTGAATGGTTGTAGCATCTTGTCGTCTGTCAGAGATTGGGTGTTCCTTTTGCCAGAATTTCTTGCGTTGCCCCCACCCCCTTCCCGGCTTCCTTCCATGCCCTTTACATTTAGAAAGCAAAACTCTTAAACATGTGGAAAGACTTATGAGTGAGTCCTGTCTGCTGTCACGACCACTGTCGTGTACCTGATGTCTTCAAAGGGTGGAGATTTCTCCTCTGAGATGCTCCCAGTTCTGGAATGTAAAATTAGCTAAGTGTGAGCAGTTGAAATCTATCACTAATGGGCCCCAGTCCCCTTGCTGGTGTCACTTAGACTCCGTTCTCTGGTCTCCCTGAGGCTGGTAATGACACCTGGCTGACATGAGATTTCCCACCTTGAAGTGACTGCTTAGCCCTGCATTTACGCCTTTTTCGTTTTAGTAAGTCGTGGTTTTATTTTGAATAAGCCTCTTTCAACCTGTTAATATTAGTCTAAACTAAAATTAACCTTCCCCTAAATTATTCTCACACAGAAAAAGCAAAGTAATTTTGAAAGTTAAATCAAAACAAAGCAATCTTGTGTGTAAAACAGATAAAAATCACAGACTGTGGTTACGGAGCGCCTGTACAGGAATCGCTTACAGAAAGCTGATTTCCTCCAGTCTGGTTATGGAAGGAGAACGGGAAATGCCCCGGCCAAATCACAATCCCATTCTGTCAGACAGGCGCGGGGGGAGCTCGTGTAAACAGCAGGGGCTTGCTCACAGCTGGTGTCTGTGGGTACTGTTTGTGTGTGAGAGGGGACACTTGTTCCCAGCCTGACTTGTGGCCGGCGGTTCGGCGGCGGGAAGCTTCACCTGCTCGCAGGAGAAGGGGGTTCATGGAGACCCCCAGAAAGCAGGTCCCGGGCACAGATTACTCGCTCACTAAGGAACCGACCAGGATGGGTTCCAGACCTGAATTGTGAAACAGATGGTAGCTCCTGGTGTAGAAGCAGGTGTGCTCTGCTGCGGACTCCAGCTGCTCTGAATTTATACCTTGTGCTTAGCTGCAGAATGGATTAGAACTCCGAGGTGGGCACTCTTCAGAAGACTGGAGGACCTCTGGGACCTTTAATCTAGCAGTTTCCCTTTGAACAGTTCGTCAGCTTGCCATAAACATAGGGTAGTCACTGGCAAAGGGGCTTTTTAAAATTTTTTCATTGTCCTTTCTTTGCTCCCCACATGGAGTTGGGGGGGGGTGACTCAGCCTGTGAGTGTGACCATGGACAATGCGCTGAGCCACCATGTTTATGTAACAGAGCTGCCCACCAGCAGCCAAGAGGTTCAGGGGCGCATCGGTGCACCACTTGATTTAGCTTAGGACTAAGTGACTCCAGATCACTGGTTTCTCAAATAAACTCCAGCTACCAGAAGTTCACCCTTGGGGGAGTCAATGTATTTGAAGGTTAATAACCTAGGTAGTTAGATAGTTATTTCCATCTCTCTTCTGTTCCCTCCACCCCTGCCCCTTTCAACGGAACACCAACTCCAGTGAAGTGGTGGGAGTAGGGGACACCTGGTTGATACACTTCTTGATCAAGGCAGTTCTGGCCAACGATGACCTAGAAAGAATAGTGTTTTAGGGGAGCAAATGGAGATTCAAGGATTCTCCTTGAGGCTCCAGGCATTCTGGGAGTTCCTTTAAAGAAGCAGATCATTTGGTCTGCTGCTCTCTACGCAGTGAGGTCTCCCTCTGCAAGGGACGTGGGAGGAGGGACTCCCCTTTCTCTGCCTCGGGGAAGAACCCGTGTTTGGAAGGTGGGGTGCCTCCACAGCCGCGTTACAACGGGATCGGGGGTTCAGGTAACTATAGGCGTCCCCCCACCCAAAAAATAACATTAGGGCTGAGAAACTAAGAAACTGTCCTATTGTCGTTTCAGGTCTTTTTGAATAATTACCAAGCAGCAGAAGCCCACCCCCAAATGATTATCTTACGACTGCTACGTTACATCGTCCGCCTGGTGTGGCGATTGCAGTGACGACGGGTTCCTCGTGGAGCCAGATGTGTGCAGACATTTCACGCGTTCACACCAGCAGGCCCAACACCGCAGTTTCTGGGTGCCGTTGCCGCACAGCCAGCGGCCCCTTCTCCGATGGGGCGTGCGGGCAGGCCGGCCGACGCATTCCTGAGGACGCTGTGCTGCATGTGGACCGGACCTTTCTGTTCACCACACAGCAGAATTTCTAATCGAAGTTTCTTGTGAATGTAAATGAGGGAGGATTCTTTTTTTTAAAAAAAAAAAAAAAGTAAAAATCATGGTTCTTTGGAGCAGGATTTTATGCAAGAATGGTGTTTACACATGGTGTGGGTTTTTTTTTTTCCACCTTCTTTAGTAAGAGCAGGTTTTTCAAAAAGGAAATGGAAACTTTTTAACCAACTCGTGAATGATTTTTGTACTAAAATTTTAAGAACCTATTGCCTACTCTCAGAGGATTATGTTAACTCTGCAGTGGAAACTGAGCCAGCTAATTTGTAAAGCTGCCTTAGTTTATTTTTAGAGATTACTGTACAGAATTTTCAAACGGGAGAGGTATGATATGGCCCCCCTCCTTTCCCTGCCATTGCCTCTTTGACATACTTTTTTTTTTTTTTTTTTTTTTTTACCATTATTATTAATACCAAAAAGTTGTTACGACATAGAACTGATTAAAGGGGCTGGGGGATCTGTTACCAGCCTGTATTGATACGCCACTCCCGTTTTGTAAATACTTACTTACCTCCTTAAATCCAATTGCATCTGTGGCAAAAAAAATTTTTAAGATTCCCTTCGTGTGTTTTTCCTTATCTCCTCTTGTGATGCTCTTCTGGTCTGTCTGGATGCCGACGCATGGATTTGGTCCAGTGTGTGCTCACGATAAAAGGTAATCAGGTCAGAACGTGAGTTAGGATCTGCCCAGATCACACACACTGGGACGTGCTTGATGTTGGTCTTCAGTGGTTTTGATGGGCTCATCATTTAGAAGTGTCCCAAGGAAGGTGTCCTATGCAGTCATAGCATAGACAGGTACTGGGCCCCCGGCACCGTTGACTTTTCTAGTTGTGGACTTGCCTATAGTCACAGGTGCCCTGTCCGCACACGGCGGCAGGTGACCCAGCTCCAGCCCTCTTGGGAATTGGCGCAGGCCTCGGGGCTTGAGGCGGCTGCTTCCTTCCAGGCTTTTTGTCTAACTCCCAAGTTCTTGTGGCCTTTGATGCCCGCCGCTTGGTTCCCACCCCTCTAAATCCATTTTGAAATAAAGGCTTAATTCCGCCTTCAGCGGTGCCATCCAAATAACCCCACTGGGGCACAAATCTGAAGTGGCCTCTCAGCCTTCTGACCAATAGGTTTGACTTGTTCATTTCTCTTGGGACAGTTGGGTTTTGTGGGACCGCCCTGTGTGCACCCACCTCCGTTGGGGGTGCTCTTTCTTTCTCCACACCTTCCTGGGATGGTTGCCGTGAAGGGAGAGCCCATGAGCTGGTCCGTCATTTCAAAGGCAGTTAACTGGGAGACCCAAAATAAAGACCAGGAAGTAGTAAAAGAAGGGAGGTGGCGATCGTTTCGTGAACCCTATATTAACTCTTACAGTTTTTGAAACCTCAGACCATTAAACAGCTTTTTAAGAGAACTACGTCAAACCCAGTCAGCGGCTCCAACAACTCTTGTTTGCTGTTGGCCCCTAAGAGGACCAGTATTTTCACATTATTAAATTAAGTGGGGAAATGCATTCGTTTGTATCTTCATAATTCTATATAAATATATATATGTGTGTGTATCTATAGCATATGCATTTTTTTTCCTTTAGGTAGAGATATTTGATTCCAAATATTCTTCCTCTAGAATTTTCTTTCCCCCCAGAAGTCTTCTTGGGGTCTTGAATATTTTTTTAAGGCTGTGTTGAGTGTCAGCTTGTGTTTCTGATGTGTCTTGAACCCCTTTGTAGGGTCACGAAGTCCACACAGTTGTAAGGCGGTGGTGGACCTGTTGGACACACACACACCAAAGACATATTTGGTTCTGGGCGCCTCCCCCTGACCCAGGACCTCCGTACTCAGTGCCAGTCTCTCCGACTGGAGCACTTTACTCTGTTTCTGCAATACTGCGGCTCCGCGGGAGCAGGGCCCGAGGGCTGTGTGCTGGCCACATGTGCAGGTTTACCTCTGGCTTGGTGGCCCCCTGGCCTCCAGGCCGGCCGTGGAAGCCGCTTGTAAGGAGATGAGATTCTATGAATTGTAGTATTAAGGAGCGGGATGTCACACCAGGACTCGAGAGAGGTGACTGGACGTCTCTGTACTGTACGCGTCTGTTTATCAAGATGCCTCCCTCCGGAAGGTATGCCTACTGTGGTAGACCTTGTACTCTTTATTTTTTATTTCTCTTACTTTTCGTAGAAAAAAATGGCTAGATCCCTTTTTGAAAACTGAATGCGGGTTTTGTGCCTTGACCATCTCTTCTCACGTGAGGTTTGTAGAAAGTGTCCTGTGACTTCTCACGGAAATGCAATAAACACATACAAAATGCTTCCATGAGTAGTTCTTCTAGTTAGCTGTGCTCCTGCCTAGAAAGGAGTTCACGAGGAACTCTTTCTGGGGCTTGTGGAGAAACCAGGTAAAAAATCCATCTGATCAAAACGAGTGTACACCGTAGAGAACGACTTTCTCCTGTTCCCCCCACCTCTTGATATTGTATATATTTTGACTATTTATTAGATTAGGAAGTCACATTTTACTTAACCAACTGAGCCAAATGTCTGTGTGCAATTGTGTTTCCTTTACCTTTCTTGTAAAATTTTGTACAGCATAAATGAGTAAAAAAATCACTGTTTTTACTAAACTTCTTCAGAACTGAGGATTGTAAATATTGTAGATTCTTTTTCTGTGTCATGTGTCCTACTGTTTCATAATGCTGTAACTTGTAGAAATATTGTATATTTATTTCCTGCTTATTTAATGTCTTAAGTTTTGAAAAGTGTTGACCTCCCTGCCCCCCACCCCCACCCCCCTGCTGTACCATTAATCGCTTTTTTAACTCTGACATAGTGACAGCTCAGCTCCTTGGGCCACGCGGTCTTCCCAGGATGGCCCTCCAGCTTTGGTTCCTGTCATTTCTGGTCACATGGGTTTCAAATTCTCGGGGTTTGCCCTCCTGATGATGACATTTGTGTTTGGCCACCAATGAGAGACCATGTGGCAGGCCACCAAATCCTACAAGAAATATCCAATGACTTTTGATTTGTTCCAAAAGAGCTTGCTTCTCATGGAAACAAATTCTATTAACACCAGGCCATCTCTCTCTCTCTTTTTTTTAATATATTATTGGCAGTTGGAACAGATTTTTCCATTGAAAACTTAACCCCTGACAATTCAGTGTTCAGAGAAATAGAAACGTGCCCCCTCTGGAGGTGTTGCCCTGGAGGAGGGAGGGACAGGTGACACGGGTGGCTCCTGCCTGGGGAGTGACTCGGGACCACCTTGTGCCACTAACCCCTTTTTGGCAACTGGTGAGTAGTTGAATCATCCCCCACGTGCTGCATCCTACGCTCTGAAGTGTGGACTAAATGTTCTCCAGGAGCTACCTGTACAGACCCTGCCCCCCCCCCAGCCCTGAGCCGTTCGGTCCCTACATTTGATCAGCCTGCTGCTTCAGGCTGTCTTCCTTCTGCTTCTCTGTTGCCTTTGAGAGAGGTTGAGGGCCCATTAGACTGGATGTGAAGATGTGGAAGCTTTAGAGAGACCCTCCTAGTGGTCCCGCGTCCCTGCTGACTTAGCCTGGTGCCTGTGTGTGCCCAGTCTGCACATGTGTGTGCAGGCATGTGGCCACATGTGACGCTAAACCAGCTGAGGTGACTTCCTATTCTCCAAATGGCATTGTATTCGAGAAGCATTCCTCAAGCTCCCAGCTAGGTAACTTGACTACTTTTATTCAGAAATCAGACTTTAGAAACTCTCCTAAGTTGTATGTCCAGATTCTGTGACCACTAGTTACTGTATCAGAACTCATCAGGTACATGTTTATAAATAGCACTGATCCTCCGTCTGTATACTGACCCATCACTAACTTGTTTCCTAGGACCCAGCGTATGTAGCATTTGTATTGCAATTTCCCTGGCTTACTTGTGTTTTGCACTGATGAATTTTGACAGGGTAATTGCCACTTTACTTGTGCAATACTGCTGTAAATAACTGCAGATTTTTTTTTAAGAAACTTAATCTTTTATGTTCTTAATGAAGTTTATACAAATAAAACTTTCAACTAGTTTTGGTGAGCTGTTTGGTTTGTTTCACAGAACAGTGGAGAAACAGCTGGAGTTCTGTAGAAATATATGCACACCCACACCTCTGCCCTTCGTCAGTCACAGAATGTACTACCTACGTGTCGATTTTGTGAATTCGCGCTTGAAGACGATTCTGTGTAGTATACTTAAAAGCAAACCACTCTTAAAAGTTTTGAAGTGGCTGGCGAGACCTTCTGCATGGTTTTCTGCCCACATAGTCAGATATGACTCAGCACCTGGGGTGGGGGGGTACTAGGTAGGAGCCAGCTATGTATTGATCAGTGATGAGGACAGATTCCCTTCCATCTCATCCCCTCTCGTAGTTGGGAGAAAAAACAAAAGATGGGAAGTCCGGTTTGACTCTGGTAGAAAGGGCTTGTCTGCAGAGCCAAGGGGATCACCAGTGAGTGTCTGGAGCCCCATGTGTGAACTGATCCCTGCCGCCTTGGAAAGGTTCACTGGGTTGAGTGCCGGGAACGCTGTGCTGCGCGGTGAGTGTGAACTGGTTTAAGGGATGACAGAGAAAGTAAAGCTTGGGTTGGGAGCACGGGCTGTAACATCCTAAATAAGTAATTGGAGAATTTGCCGCTTTTGCTTGGAAACAAATGCTGGGAAAGTTAAAGGCCGGCTGGGTTTTGTTTTAAACCGGGTAATCTGTTAATGCTCTTCCTTTTAATTCAGCAAACAATACGTGAGTATGGTCTTGTTACCATAGATGTGTGTGTGTGCGTATTTATTTCAGATCATATTTATTTCACATCAAAGTTGTTCTGGCTCCCATCCCCTATCCTACTTCCTCACCAACACAAGTTCAAATCTTTCCCAATCCTTTACTGTGTGTGTGTGTGTGTGTGTGTGTGTGTGTGTGTGTGTGTGTGTGTGTGTGTACGCGCGCGCCCACACTCTTCGGCTACTTTAATTTTGCTTTTGCTGTAAATGCTGTAATTCGTATGTGATTCTGACTTAGCGGTGGGTGGTAGATCTTCAGAGTGACTCCACTCTGTTCTAAGCTCTGCATCAAGGGCACACAGATAACGCTGCTTGCCGCCTGGCTTCCTGCTTCTGGCATTTCTGCACCTTCAGTGTTGCCCAGTGCTGCCTGGCTGCCCCTGGCCAGCAAGCTGGAGGGCTGCATGGTGGTGGGACAGGGAGGTGGGGGCTCAGCTTCCTGGCTCAGCGGACCCACAGATGCTGCCAGTCCGAGTCCACTCAAACACCCACCGGCAGTACAGGAGAACATCCACCTCTCAAATTCTCTGCCAAGCAGTGATACCATATTGATGTCTGCCTGGAGGAGGAAGAGTAGTGTTATTGGTCGAATTCAGATTTTTCTATTTACAAAAGGATGATATTTCCAGATATAGTTGGCATTTGTCTTTTTTCTAAAGGCCTTCACTTATGATCCATTGGGCTTTTCATTTTTTCTGTTGATGAACTTCATATATATATATTATAAAAATATATATTTTGTATGAGTAAAAATCTCTTATGTTTTAGCAATATCTTTCCTTGAGTCTGTTCCTTTCTCTCCCCAACATTCTATTATCAAGATTTCTAAGCATACAGAAAATGTGAAAGAATTTTACAAAGAACCCTAGTATACCCACCCACTAGACTCTACCTTTCACAATTTACTTTTTCTTATGTTTACCTTTTTTGAGAGAGAAAGCAAGGGAGAGCAGAGAGAGAGAGAGGGAGAGAGAGAATCCCAAGTTGGCTCTGCACTGTCAGCACACAGCCCAAAGTGGGGCTCAATCTCGACCATGAGATCATGACCTGAGCTGAAATCAAGTCAGAGGCTTAACCAACAGAGCCACCCAGGTGCCCCTACTATTTTTTACATCACCTACCCAACCATTAATCTCACCTTCTGATGCATTTCAGAGTAAATTGTAGTCATCAGTACTCATCCCTAAGTACTTCAGCACACTTATCATTTAAAGTTGGCTCTTTTTGGGCCCACTGGGTGGCTCAGTTGGTTGAGCGTCCGACTTCGGCTCAGGTTATGATCTCACAGTTCATGGGAGCTGTCAGCACAGAGCCTGAAGCCTGCTTTGGATTCTGTGCCTCCCTCTCTCTCTGCCCTTCCCCTGCTTGCACTCTGTCTCTCTCTGGCTCTCAAACAATAAGACGTTAAGAAAATGTAAAAAATAATAAAGTTCATTCTTTTTTTAAAAATGTCCTCACTTGAGATAAGATTTACAATAAAACGAATCTTTTTTTAAATTCATTTTTCAGAAAAACACAAATCTTAGGTGCACATTTGCTACGTTTTGACCAAGAATAAAGCTGTCCCCCAAACCCCTATCAAGATGAAGACCATTGCCATCACTGTAGAACGTTTTCTCAAGCTCCTTCCCAGGCAATCCCTCCCATCCACTCCCAGAGATGACCTCTGTTCTGATTTTTTTCCCACCATAAATTCATTTTTGCGGATAGCTTGAATTTCTGGAATTAGGCAGTATGTGCTTTTTGTGTGTGTCTGGTTTCTCTTTTGCTCACCTTAATATTTTTGAGGCCCAAAGTTACAATCAGTAGCTTCCTTTGTATTAAGCCAAGTGTTATTCTACTGAATGAATAGCCCACACTTGGTCCATTGCCTTGTTCATGAGCACTAATGGGGCTAGGAAGAATAAGGCTGCTGCGAATATCCTTCATGTCTTTTTGTGAACATATATTTCATTCCATTGTGTGTCTTTTAACCGCCGATGGTGTCCTTGTACTGTAACCACTTTAGAAGAAAGATTTAATCTTAAATTTCTGTATTTCATATCTTAAAAGACTTTCCCTACGCCCAAGTTTAAAATATATTACATTTTATTCATATAATTCTACAGAGTTTTGTAAAATCTTTAATCCACCTGGATTTTTTTTTTAACAATCTGCAATATAAATCTAACTTTCTTTTTCCCCATAGACAGCTAAGACTCCTCTTTTCTCCACCAGCCTGAAATGGCTTTTTGACATCCACCAGATTCACATATAGTGCTTCTGCTTCTCAGTTCTTTTCTATTCCACAGATCCTGTCTAATCTACATTATTCTGATCACTATAGTTTTTCTTAATTGAAGTATAGTTGATAGAATATTGTACTTGTTTAAGGACACCTGGGTGGTTCCATCATTAAGCATCTGACCTCAGCTCAGGTTATGATCTCACAGTTTGTGAGTTCAAATCCCACATCGGGTAAGCTCAAGCCCCACTTCCGGTAAAACATAAGCCCTGGGTGAGCCTCACTTCTTTATCTTCCTCTCACTCTGCCCCTTGCAGGATTTCCTCTCTCTCCTCCTCTCTCTCTCTATAGTCGTTTAAGGTGTGCAACAGAGTGATTTGAAGTTGTGAACATTACAAAATGCTCACCACAGTAAACGTAGCCACCATCTGCCACCATACGAAGTCACCACAACATGACTACACTCCTTGTTCATCCCTGAGACTTTATTTTACAACTGGAAGTTTGTACCTCAATGCCCTTCACCCATTTTGTCTATCCCTCTACCCACCCCCCCATTGATCGCTATTGTTTTAGGTTTTACATTTCTTATCCTTATTTTTCAAGATTATCATGCCCATTCTACATTTTGTCTTAAATGTGCATTTTAGAATCAGTGTAAGCTGCTTGAGTAGTTCTGTGGAGATCTTGTTCGGAATGATGGTGAGTACATATTGCTTTAGGGGAGCTCTGTCACTTTTCCAAGAGATGTTTCAAGATGGGTAGTGTTTTTATCCCTCCATGAGGCTTGTATTTTGATATTTTTAGGACACTTGATTTCTCTTCCATATATCCTGCATGTTTCTTGTTAGCTCTTCTTTATGGGAGGGAGGGGGGATTATCCCATCCAACCCACCTATCCCCGCCCCCTTTCTTATTTCTACCACAATTTCCCTTTCTCTCCCTGCCCCTGGTACAGCTGGGGGCAGACCCATTTCCTAGACGTGGCCAACCCAACACTCTTTGAATCTGGAGCAAGCGAGGCAAAGAGGGGCTGTTAGGAGAACAGCAACATCCTTGAGTCTGTGGGGGCATGGTGGCATTCCCTGGCCACGGTGCTCTGCTGTCCAGCCGCCAGCATGCCAGTCTCTGGTCCCCAGTTTCCTGTATATTCTTTGAGCTTGGCGCCCCCCCCCCCCCCCCCCCCCGCCCCCCAGGTAAGTTCTCTGTGTGCTGAGTTAACCCAAGTTGCTTTCAGTTGCTGGCAGCCAGTAGTGCTGACTCATTCCTACCTGTCAGGAAGGACTGAAGAAAAAGGTGGTAAGGAGTTCTTGCTAAAGAAAACAAATTCAGAAGGTGAGAGGTGACAACTTGATTGTTAAAAATCTCCACTAGGCAAGACCAGATAGGGTCTGTGAGAAGATGGAAAACAACAAGGCAAAAGCTCTCCAATTTTTCTGGTTTCTTCTGTGGGGTCTCCTTTCCTGATCACTGCTTCCTGGGACAAGCCCTGAGTCCTTAGAAGAAGTCCATCAGGAAGATACATTAGAATGGTGAAGGCCCTTGTTTCTAGAATGTTCTACCTTATAATACCTGTGTTACCAAAAGGAACTCTGCAAGGGAAAATCATCACAACTTCTCCCCTTTGTCTCCTAGAGGCAGATTTGGGGTGATTCAGCTCTACAATAACCCATCTGCTAACTAACCAGGATCAAACTTGGGCGACCACGCTTAAAATACACCCTACAGATATCACATGCCGTTGCTGACTTTCCGGCCCAGAAGGACGTCAGAGACTTTATGCAACCTCATTATTTTTTTAGTAATTAAGGTAGTGGTTTTCCTAAAACATTCATTCATTCAATCCAGGTGTGTAGCCAGACCCTACCACATCCCAGGTACAAATGAAAGTGAAAATGCCTAAGACGAGGCCATGCTCGGGAGCTGTGTTGCTGCGGGTCTCGCGGGCAGTAAGCAGAAAAATTAAAAAAAAAAAAAAAAAAAAGGTATGATAAAATTCTGTGGTGGAATCTCAGAGAAGGAGCTGTTTC